ATCTATTTTGGCTTGGGTTTACAAATTTATAGTCTCTAATGAAATAGGTTGAGGAGGGGAGAACTGTTTGTCTCAAGTTGGTCATTCAGAATTATATCTGTGTTTTTTAATTTGTTGATTTCCATAGATTCTAACAAAGATAGCTTAAGGCCTTTATTTTGAATGTGAAGAATTTTAAATTTGTCATTAAAAGAATGATTATGATCTAGAAGGTGAAGTGCGTATGTCGAATCTGTTTTTCTATTCTTGAAAGCCCTTTTATGTTCTGCTATTCGTTTATCAAAGTTTCTACCAGTTTGACCGATGTAAGTTTTTGGGCAGTCGCCACATTGGAGTTTGTATACACCACTGTTTAAATGTTTTTTATTTTGGCTCTTGTTATTTTTAATATATTTGCCTAGGTTGTTATTTGTTCGGAAAGCTGGTGTTATTCCTTTCTTTTTTATGTGTTTGGCAATTTTTGTTGTTATTTTGCCTGTATATGTAATCGAGCAGAAGGTACTGGGTTTTTTCTCTGGTGGTGGAAATACTAATTTCAGGGCTTCCTTGTGTAGTTTTTGATTTAACATTTTATTAATTGTTTGTTCGTTGTATCCGTTGTTTACTGCTATTTGTTTAATTATATTTAATTCTGTCTCAAAGTTGTCTTTTGACATCGGAATTTCTGTTAATCTATGTAACATACTATGATAAGTTGCCAGTTTATGTTGTGTTGGATGGGATGACGAATTGTGTATAGTCGTGTCAGTATGGGTAGGTTTATGAAATATGGAGAAGTCATGTTTGTTTTGAAGTCTGCTAATTTTTAAATCTAAAAAATTTATGGATTGATTTTGTTCTGTTTCTATTGTAAATTGAATATGACTATGAACTGAATTAATATATGATAAAAATTGGTCGAGTTGCCTGTTAGTTCCTGTGAAACATACCAGTACGTCGTCTACGTATCTCCACCAATATAAAAACTGTTTGAATACGGGATGTTTTGAAATCTTTGTCTCTAGATGATCCATAAAAATATCTGATAACAATGGGCTTAGAGGATTACCCATTATAAGTCCTGTACTGTTATTTGTATATATTTTATTATTAAATTCAAAGTAGTCCTGGTTTATGCAAACTTCAAGAAGATGTAAAATTTCAGATGTAATTATTGGATTTGTACTATTTTGGTCTAAAAGGTTTTTTACTAGAATAAAAGTTTCTGTAGGAGGGATACTAGGAAAAAGATTTTTTACGTCAAATGAAATTAATCTGGAATTGTTAGGTAATTGAAAATGTTGTATTTTATTAACTAGTTCTATTGTATTTTTTATGGTAAATTTAGGTGAAAATTTAGTGTGGTCTAAAATAATCTCTAACAGTTTTTTTGAAATTTTATATGACGGAGCTGTATAAAAAGAAACTACAGGTCTTATTGGGTGATCCGGTTTGTGTAGTTTAATGAAAGAATATAATTTAGGAGGCTGTGGGTTCATAATATTGAGGTATTTCTGTTCTATTGGATTTAGTATTGATTTTGAATTTTCTAACGCTAGCTTAATTTGTTTTTGATATTTTTCTGTCGGATCTTTGTGTTAAACAACGGATACAACGAACAAACAATTAATAAAATGTTAAATCAAAAACTACACAAGAAAGCCCTGAAATTAGTATTTCCACCACCAGAGAAAAAACCCAGTACCTTCTGCTCGATTACATATACAGGCAAAATAACAACAAAAATTGCCAAACACATAAAAAAGAAAGGAATAACACCAGCTTTCCGAACAAATAACAACCTAGGCAAATATATTAAAAATAACAAGAGCCAAAATAAAAAACATTTAAACAGTGGTGTATACAAACTCCAATGTGGCGACTGCCCAAAAACTTACATCGGTCAAACTGGTAGAAACTTTGATAAACGAATAGCAGAACATAAAAGGGCTTTCAAGAATAGAAAAACAGATTCGACATACGCACTTCACCTTCTAGATCATAATCATTCTTTTAATGACAAATTTAAAATTCTTCACATTCAAAATAAAGGCCTTAGGCTATTATGTTAGAATCTATGGAAATCAACAAATTAAAAAACACAGATATAATTCTGAATGACCAACTTGAGACAAACAGTTCTCCCCTCCTCAACTTATTTCATTAGAGACTATAAATTTGTAAACCCAAGCCAAAATAGATCACTTGAGAAAGGCAATCAGCCGAAACAGCTGTAGTGATAATATTTAAAATAAATTTTGTGGAAGTTTGAAAACAAAGTTTTCAGTGTTTTATTGTTACATAAAATGAATTTCCATCAAGTAACGGTCGAATCCATCAATTAAATCAGTAACCTTTATTTCTCCTCCTCCTCCTCGGTCCGAATCCCTTTTGGGATATAATGACACCATCAAGCCTTTACAGTTTTTTTACGATTTCCCTCCATCTTTCCCTGTCCTGGGCTAGCTGTTCGGCTTCATGTAACCCTTGGTATTTAAGTTGTTCTAATATCGATACTTTAGTGCGATTATCAATCCAGGATATTCTTAACATTAGGCGGTATACCCACATTTCAAAAGCGTCTAAGTGTGTTTTTTCTTACACCTCGTCCTGTGTTTCGCGCATCAGTCATAGGTCGCTAGTTTTTTCGCTGGAAATATGTTCACTTTTTTTGTACTTTTTGAAGGACCACCCAGAAATTCTGGGACAAATGAAAACTTCGCAGTTACAGTAGGCAATTGCAACTACGTATTTTGGACGCCGACTACTTGCTGATGTGATTGACATGATTGACTGAAACGAATGCAGCATTGGATAGATGGAAGTGTCTACTCTTTCAGTACGAAAACACGTTTTTGTCGCTGTAGTAGTATTTTTTCTGTAGAGGTTAGAAAAGAACCTGTTTTTGTCTTGTACCGCAAACAATGTGTGACGAAAAACATGAGCAACCGATTAATGTGAAATTTCTCGTTAAATTAAAAAAAATCCGACTAAGTGCTATAATTTGTTGAAAGAAGCCTATAGTGAAAATTCACTATCTCGTTCGCGTATTTTCGAATGGTATAAACGGTTTTCTGAAGGCTGAGAGAGCGCCGAAATGACCAACGTCCAAGTCAACGCATCTCTGTTTCAACTTCGCAAACAGTGACCAAAATAAATGGAATTGTGCGCGGAGATCGTCGTGTGAGCATTCGGATGATTACTGAGACTGTAAACTTACTATTTGGAAGTTTTGGCAACGCTGCGAGGGCGAGTTCATAAGAAATGGCCGGAGTTGTGGAAAAACAAGCCGTAGATCTTACATCAGGAGAACGCGCTGTCTGTGAAGCGTTATTTAGCCGCTAGAGGCGTTCCAGTGATCGAAAACCCGCCGTACTCGCCTGATGTAGCACCCTGTGACTTTTTCCCGTTTCCGAAGATGAAGTCTGCCTTAAAAAGAATCCGGTTCGAGTCGATAGAAGAGGGAAGCGTTGGTAAAAATGGCGTAGCTCCTAAAAGCTCTAACAAAAGAAGCCTTCCATCATTGCTTTGACTAATGGAAAAACGAATGGAACGGTGTGTGGCAAGGGAAGGGGAATATATTGAAGGAGAGCATTCAATTGTAGAATAATTTTTAAAATAAAACTCTTTTCATAAGCAGTCTCGTTATTTATTAGCCAGACCTCGTAGATTATAATTAGTTGGTTTCGTAAAATATTTGTCGACGTATGTCTCAATTGTTTTTGTCATTTTCATTTGTTTCATAAAGCTTTAATTTGTTTTTCCGTTTAATTGACTATCCCCCCTCTAAGTCCGCTTATGGTAAATTTTAAGTTCCATTAAAGATTTTCTTAATTACACAGCGCAAACAACAATCTATTTTTCATAATTTTTGCTGTTTGATGCACTCGACCGTTGAAAATCGGCACAATTATCAAAGTCGGCCAAGGCGGCGGCGACTTGAGAAACACCATTTTAATTTGAATTTGAACGATTTTGAAATCGACATCGACGTTTTTGAAGATCTTTCCGATATCTTATACAGAAATGGATAAAAAAATCACCTTTAAGTTATTAAAAATAATAGAATTTATTTATTATAGCATGATTTGATATATTTATTAGTGATTTTAATATTTTCGAAATGTTTCATACATATTGTGTTTTTGTATGTGTTATATTGCAGGGGTCACCAATTATATTCCTTGAGGGTCCGTTTCGAAACCTACTACAATTCCGCGCTCCAGACACTCAGCACTAAACCATGCAGTGTTGTAACCGGTGGGAGGGGTTACCCAGAAACCCCCCAAGATAGCCTCGAAGCTCGAATTTCACACTATCCTTGCCAAAATAGTTCACCACAGCTTTTTGTGTAAATCCTCTCCTGTAGTAGTTCCTGACATTGGCAAAATAGTCCAAAGTTCTTCAACAAACTCTTCACTGGTTCTGTCCAGATGGTGCAGGAAAATGACAAGCTGTGCTGTATCTGTAATATCGCATGACTCATCCAATGCCAAAGCAAAATATTTAGTGACCGCCAAGATTTGTTTTAACGTATTCTATGTTTCATCTGCCAATATCTGTGTACTTGTGCTTGAAGTAGTAGATATCGGAATACGCTGATTAATATCGACAAGATCTTTTTTATTTTCAAATAATGAATTTCCTGCTTTCAGAAAACACTCTTTAATGATAGTCGCGTTACTAAATGGCTTCATATGTTTTGATAAGCGTCCAGGAAATGTGTAAAGAAGCTTCAGAACATTTTCTTCTTACATTTGATTATAATTTTACACTATAATTTCATTACTATATTTTGAATTATTAACGGCGGTTCGCAAAAACAAGATCAAGGTTTTTGTTTCGCCATTTGGTGGCGCATGTATTATATTGTATTGTATTTAATATTTTATGTGATTATTGGTTTTTTTAATTGTTGATTAACAAAAATAAAACGAGTCAAAAACGTTATTCATGCATTATGATAATTATATTGTTATTTGAATTCGACAGTAGACTAATTTTGTTTTCTTTTGTTACAGACAAAAAAGAACAATCCGAATCACATCAAGAGACCAATGAATGCTTTCATGGTATGGTCTCAGATCGAGCGCAGAAAAATCTGTGAAGTAAGTCCAGATATGCACAACGCCGAGATCTCCAAAAAGCTGGGCAGGAGATGGAAGCAACTTAACGATGAGGAACGTCAGCCGTTTATCGAAGAAGCCGAACGCCTACGTCAATTACATCAGAAAGAGTACCCTGACTACAAATACCGTCCCAGAAAGAAAAGTACCAAGCCAACTCCCAAACCCAGTTCTTCAAAGAAAAACAAGAAATCATCCAAGTTGCATAAAAATGATACAAATAATAATAGCTCCATAGTCAATGAAAAGATTTACGCCAGACGTAGCACAGTGCCTGAATCGGTGGCATCGAAATTGAAATTTAGGTTGACCAATGTTGCAGAGCAAAGGCAGCTCAATAGGATAGTCGAAACAGAAGAACATATAAGACAGAGCATGCCCTTGCCTCCGATGAGCTTCCTGGCTAAAGTACCGTCGAGTCCTTCATGTGATACTCCAGATTCACCAGAAAGTGCTACTATTTATGACGATACCTGGGTCAGCCAGTTCACCACAGTAAAAGAAGAGCCTGAAGATAGGTTGTCCCATCCACAGATTACTCCAGCCTCCTTAGACGATTTAGACAGGATCGACGACCTATTACCAATGGATGGGATCAATCTTGAAGAATTAGCGGATATCGATACCAACTTCGATACTGCTTCAAATAGTTCCGGATCACACCTAGATTTCTCATGTCCCAAGGATATCCCCATGTTCTCTAACATCGAAAACGAAACATGGGCCGAAATGCAAACCGAGGCATTTTTAATGTGAGGAAGAGACTAAGACTGTTTTTGAGATTTTACTGTGTGTGGAGGCACAATTATACTGTTAATATTTTGGGGTTGGTCCTCATTATATAGAACGATGGCCACATCGACAGTTTTTATATTGTTATAAATATTCTTAACCCCAAACATTGATCTCATTTTGCGTTTATTATTTTTGTATTTATCATTACGATGTATTACCAGAATCTAACAGTTTTACGTAAGACAGTCATTTTAGATCGAGAATGCTATTATATTTAAACTGCCACTGAAAATCGCATTCCCAAGGGATCTGTATATATAAATATTTTTATGTAAACGTGTTTGTGACGAAATAAATGGTTCTGGTAGTCAGATTTGTCGAAATTTTTAAATGCAACTGGATGTATATCTTAATTATTTATTTACTCATTTGTTTCTTATTTCATTGAGTACATTCATATATTTGTAGCTTACCTAGCATTTTGGTACGCTTAATGCTATTTTCTTAGTCAGTAAAATTGGGATTGTAGATATATGCATTTATTTACAAAGCTGAACATTTCAATCATGCACCTTGCCTACTAAATTGGCATTCATCCCTGTTTTGCTCTTTCTTCCCAACCATCAATTATATCTTTTCGGAGATTTTTCTACACGCTATTAAACCTTTTTTGTCTAAATCGTCCTTCTTTTCGTGATTGGACCCCGTTTTAGAATCATCTTTGGCTACTTCTTCCTTTCCATTCTCATCACATGTTCTTCCATCTCACTCAGTGCTTTTATGAAGTGACTGATGCTTTTTTCGTTATATAGTTCCTGTAGTTCCTTGTTTCTTTGCCATACACAACCTTCCACCGTGTTTTCCTCCATATATAACCCATTTTTCCAATTTCGACCTATTTACTTTTTTTCATTGCCCATACTTCACTACCATACAACACTGTGGGCCTTCACCAGTGGTCTTCCCTGTCATCTTATGTTTCTGTTTCCATTGGCTAATCTAGCATTGCCTGGATGCATTTATTCCTTCTAAGCTTTCCCTTCTATCTTACTCTGTGATTTTATGAAGTGACTAATGCTTCGTTCGTTAATACAGTTCCTCTAGCTTCCTGTTTGCTCGCTGCACACAATCTTTTACCATGTTTTCCTCCATATGTAACCCATTATATCTACATATTCCATAATTTCTACGTACTTGTTTTTTTAATTGCCAACTTCACTACCATACGTCACTGTGAGCCGTCATTATAGTGGTCTTCCCTGACATCTTGTCTTTTTATTTCTATTTGAAAATCTGGCATTCCCTAGATGTATTGTTTCCCTCCAAGCTTTCCCTGTTTGGCCTCTTTTGTACAGTTGTTTGATCAGTTGCCTTCCTTTCCTCGTCATTCAGTCCATGGGAAAGTGGGATATTTATCTAATTTAACAAGTATCAAATATGAATATCATGTTTCGCCTAATTTTGTAATATTATTAATAAACATAGCTAACTTGTAATTAAATTTTTCTAATCTTCATTTATAGAAAAGTAAATTTTCTATTTATTCATATAACTTATTGATTAAAATACATATATGTTATTATTACTTAACTTAGAATTAGCGACTAAAGATATACATCCATTTTGTTGTTTTGTCACTTATGACCAGACCTAGTACCTTCGGTTGTGGTTTTCTGGTGATCACAGCTTCTCTCTAAAGTGACTGAACACTAATAGTGCCTAGCTCAGTACGTTTGTCGGCCCGGCTAGCCCGGTATTAGTTTTCGACTTTTTAATGACTGTTACCTCATAAAAAAACGGTAACAGAACACAAAAACAGGCTGTGATTCATCTGTTTGATGACCAATATTTAGTTGTCAAAAGTCCGTGTAGTCATTTTAAAGGTTCTGCTGCTGCTTGACCTTGTTTCAATTCAGTGGCGTATGTTGATGTTAAAAAGTTTTTCGCCAAAAGGTACGTTTATTGATAGGGAATTTAAGGACGAGTTTTCAAGTTGATGGAAGACTTAGCAACGAAGTTTGTAGAATAAAACATGTAACCGTCCAAAAATATTTACTCTTAAGGAATATCAAGAACACAACAACAACACAAAATTAATTCTAACGTTAAAAAAACAATTCATGAGTATCAAGTATGATAGTAGTAAGATGTATGGCCCATATTGTCGACCAAAACATCTTATAAATTGACAAAAATCAAATAAGCCAGAAAAACCTGAGTTACCGAAAAAAAGACAAATTAAATCTTTACTTACCTATAAGGCTTGATGAGATAAAAATAGTTAACCCTTTCATTCACGAATTAAATTTCTTTAAGCTAAAAATCTAAAATACAGCAACAAACCGAGAATGAATTTTTTGCGACATTTTATATCTGGAGTTAATTATGTCATGTTCTTTCTGCAATTGATATCTCCTTTTTTATTAGATCGTTATTTTCCATTAAGTTATTTATTCTCTTCGTTTTGCTTTGTTTCAAGACTCTCGGCTGCGACTCTTCTTTATGAACAAGCTCTATTGCTTCAGATGCTTCAGCTTCCTACTCTATAACACAATCTTACAATTCCAGTTCTGTGAGCTAGCTGCTCCTCAGCATTACTACGTTCATATGATTGTTCTTTAAAACCACCATTAGATCTCTGATTAATCCTCGATCAACCTCAAGAGCTACTCGTCGGTTAAGGACCTTCTTGAACTTATTTTTCCAGCTCTATTCTAAAATATTTCAATTTTTTACACAATGCAACAAAAAATGAGGTTATATTTAACTAAAAATTAATTTTTCTATTGACTCACAACGTCCACAAATGAGTACATGCTTTTCGGAAAATCGGTGGTAACTAATTTTAAGCAAAACCGCTATTAACAAATTCTGCTTTTTATTGATACCATACGACACATTCAATAGTAAGTGTTCACATTTACAACGAAAGAAACTTAAATGAATTGGCGTTGTATACACTAGTCATAAGTACCTATAAAAACAGAAACCAATATTTGAACAAATTAAATATTTTGTTAAAAAGCCGTTAGATGGCAGCACAAGTACTCATTAGACGGAATAGGATGTCTATAATCAAGGACAATGTGTCACTAGAGTAAAAACACATGGATCTACATAAAAACAATTATAGAATAATAGGTTGTCCTCAATTGAGGACACTGTGAACGAAAGGGTTAAGCTATGCTAATAAGGAATGGCATCTTCATGCAAAAATTAACTAAAAGATCATAATGACGTTTATGGAACGTTTATTCAATCAAAATTTCTTTTACAACTTGTATACAACAGTTCTGATCTACAATTAATTTTAAGAAAACTTCGAATTTTTATGTAGAAAATGTAATCCCACAAATAAATAAAAATTCTTCATTGAACTCGTTTTTAAACTCCACTGTCAGTTTCGTATAATAAACCACAATAATACCTTTTGATGTACAGGGTATATTTTTGTAAATAGCATTGGAACTGCTGCGTTCTTTTTGGCGTATACTTAGCCATTTCGATCTGGTATTCTTTTCGTTACTACCGGTAGATGTACATTCTAGTGTTATCGATTTTACAAAATAATTTTGTCGGATGAACTGAGCATGCGTGCTTTCTTATTCGAAAAAACATCCATGTTACGCTGTCAATTGTCAATTGCTTTCGATGTCAACTGTTTAAATTTAATAATAATATAATCTGAAAGACTTGTAATATAATTTTATATTTATCAAAATGCGACTTTGTTTTCCAGAGTGAGGAGACTCTTGTACGATTTCTGAACATTTTAAAATTATAATAATCAAAAGAATTTTACAATAACAAGATTTTCTCCAAATAAATAGAGTGATTAGTAATATATTTAGATCCATGTGTCTTTCTTTCTGCTTTTCTCTTCCAGTTATGGATATGTTTCACTTTTATTCTTCTCCTAACAGCTTCCCTCAAACGTTTTTAAGTTTGCTCGATTGTCTCAGTTATCTTCAAATACTTTCTGTGTTAACCCATTCTTTAAGTACTTCTTCTGCTTGATTTCAGTATTCTGAGTTTAATAAACCTGGAAAGCTCTCAATAAACCCACTTATTTTTACACACAAAACGATTGAGACTCTAGACGTGTCCAAAACATTATCCTCATCATCTTTGGTTCTACAACCCTGGATGGGTCTTGGCCTGGATTCCCCCATCTTTCGCACTGGCTTTCCAATTTCTGGACACAATGAACGTCTCCAAGACGGACGATGGAATAATGCCATCGGAAAGTGGTGTCCATATAATGCAAAGAGATCAAGAGGCAGACCACAGATGAGGTGGAAAGATGACATCAGGAAACAAGGAGGTCCCACATGGCAGAGAACAGCTCAAGATAGGGAAAGATGGAGAGAACTGGGGGAGACTTATATCCAACAATGGAAGGATAGAGAATAGGTTAAAAAAAATTCTTCTTTCAAAGCGACCTAACAGTTCTTCATCGCTTTTTACCATAGTTCATGTCTCTGACGCGTATGTCAGGACAGGTTTAATAAGAGTTCATATATTCGTATCTTGGTTTTTCTGCTAATTATGTGTGATGTTAAGAACTGCTTTAGTCCAAAGTAAGCTCTGTTCATCAGGTATATTTTTCTAAAAATTTCTACGCTTACTAGGTTGCTGTAATTTAGTTGTGTTCCAAGATAGGTATATAAACTCCTAGACTCCTTCCAATGTGTGTGCTTGTTAACTGATCTTGTGCTGCCGCTATTTGTTTGCTGTTCGTGACCTTCATGTATTTTGTTTTGGATACGTTGACCTGCAGTCCCATTGTCTTCGTGGCTTTTTCTAATGTTTCAAAAGCCTATATCTGGTCTATTTTTGTCCGTGTTACTATGTCAATGTTATCTGCGTGGGAAAATATCTGTACACTTCTATCGATGATCGTACCTCTGGTTGTTATGCCTGATTTCTCTATGGCTCTTTCTAGCGCGATGTTAAACAATAGGCACGATAGACTGTCTGCCTGGCGTAATCCAGTATGTGACACTCTGTTTTGTAAGCGCTTTTAAAATCTATGAAGAGGTGGTGGGTATCAATTCCATATTCATATGTCTTTTTAAAGGTTTGTCTGAGAAAGAATATCTGATCAATTGTTGACCTCTCTTTTCGGAATCCACATTTTTTTACCTATTTGCCTATTTTTTCCTTAGTATATACTAGTAAACGATCATAAAGTATATGTCGTATTTAAGAGGGTAATGCCTCGATAGTTGTCACATATTAGTGGATACCCTTTCTTGTGAATATGTATTATAATACATACATTCCAACTGTCTGGGAGTTTTCCTTCTCTCCAAATGGATGCAACAAGTTTTATTATGTTTTTTTATGTCCAAAACATCAGGACTTATAAAATTTTTGCCCCTTTCCCTTAACTTTCAAAAATTTTTCAAAACACTTAAATTCCTATAAATTGTGAAGACAATACTTTTGATAAAAACATTCCCGCAGACTGTATTCTAAATTACCGATGAAGTGAAACTGTAGCCAATTTTTTATAGAAGAAATCGTACAACAGCACTTACTTACCCACAAATTATTTCGTCCAGATTTGTACTTAAAGTTCCCATTGTAAAGCTGTAAAAAAAGTCTTAAATCGAGCACTCGGGTGGTAGTAGTAGTAGAAATCGACATTCGATATAACAATCGATATTACAAGTAGGGTAGAAATGTTTGTGCAGCTGTCAAATTGAATATGTTTAGTCGGTTTCCGAATGGGAAGGTTTCAAAATTGATTAAAACTAAACAAAATCCTGACGATTTGTCGTACTTAACATAACTTGGTTTAAAACTATCAACTAACATACTAACTTGAAGTGCGTGTAAGACTCACTCCAATCGTTATATTTTGGGTAGTTTTACTCACTGACCGGTTTTCTGAATTTTTTTTTTCGTCGATAACTTACTGAAACATATACTTACGTTTAATACTTACATGTACATTTTGATGTTACATCTTTTGTGTAGGTATGGCAAGGTTTTAATTTAGAGCAATATTTTCATCACATCTCCAGATTTCCATTAATTTGATTGAAAATTGATACAGGTATCTAACAACTACTTTTGATAAATTTAGCGATAACAATATGTACTTAATAAAATATGCAAAAGAATAA